TAATGATATCAAGAACTGCATGGTTCTTGGCTTTCCTAGCTACTTCCATTCTTTAAATCATTAATACACGTTGCAAGATAAAGACATCCAACAAAACCCTCTCGAAACAAAGAAACAAAATTCTTAATGTTGAAGAAGACATGAGAGAGATCATGCGAAGACACGAGAAGAAGAAGAAGAAGAAAACAAAGAAATTACAATTATTTCAGCAATTAAAATGGTTGAACTGGAAGGGTGGAAGGTGCATATAGAAGTGGGGTTGGTAGGTTACATCGGCCTGTTGGCTTTCCTATTCTGGTGGTGCAGTTGCAGACATCATTCAATATAATTACAACAAGCAGCCATATATTATATATATACCTGCCACACGCAGCTAACACAAAACACTGAAATCACGCCATGTGAATTCCAATAACAACAAAAATGTTAAAACCACTTTGTTTTTGCTCGCACAAGAAGTCAAACCAAAACAACCGTACATGTGATGCCAAAAACAAAGTAATGATAATAATAAAGGGACAATTTAAAGAAAGAAACCTAACTAGCCACATTTTCCCTCCATTGATTTTTTTAGCTCGTTTTGATCTCTTCACACTTTGGCTCGTTACGTATTGTCGTTAGTCACATGGTTTTAAGCACATCTGTTAGAAAGAGATTTTCATACCCTTATAAGAAATGTTTCGTTCCCTTCTCCAACCGATGTGTGATCTCACACTCCAAAGTTATGAAATTTCAACAAATATGGAAAAGAATCGAAAATTGGTTTGGAAAAAGGGAAATTTTGACGAAGAAGTTGAATGCACAAGTGACAGCACGTGAGAGAGAGATTTTAGGAATTTTTGAGCTGCAAATAAAGCTAGCTCAGAAAGGCACAGATCATCCAAGTAAGTAACCACATGTACTTTAGGCAAGTAATACTTATAGGGATCGCTAGGATGTGCTCGCATGCAAGCATTCCTTACCTTAGGTGGTAAGAAAATGCTTGTTAAAGACTCCGGAAGGGCGTTTTTGGATGAGTATGAATTGTATGTATGTTATGGTAAAATTACTATTATGTCCTTATGTTGAGATTTATGAGAAACATGTGTTAGGTATCATGCTTAGCTAGAAAGAGAATATGATCACTAAAATACGAATTGGGCAAATGTGGATGAGTATGTTATGTATGATGTAAGAAATCACAAAAATGTCCTTATGATGAGATTCGTGATAAATGTTGTTTTATATGTTTTCCATTGTGTCAGAAAGAAGGATGGATTTCTTTTATCTGTGCTTCGGGTGATTGATGGATGCTATTTGTCCATTGAACTTGTTTGCTTGTATGTATGCATGATATAGTATTTGTTAGCTCCAGGTGTGTACTCCTTGTAAAACGTGTTTATATGCACAAAGCTAGGGCATTAGAATTAGGTTGGCTAGAGAATGACCTAGGTTAGGAGCCCTCCAACAAACTGAGTACCTTAGGATTGTGAGCAACGGTAAGAGTGTCTAAACCCTAGTGCTCCTAGATTAAGAAAGACTTGAGGAGTCAAAACAGAGCAACCTAGAGTCATAAGCCCGTGTTAAACCACCTAACTGCCTTAAGAAACCAATAAACCTTCTCAACTCTGAGATATGACCGGGCCAAATTTAAATTATGGATTAAGTGCTTAGGTGATCAATAGGTATCTCCATAACAAAGCATGCGTGAAAGAACTCAGTTAAGATTAGGGCACCACAGCTAATGCAATTTACACGTTGACCTAAGTCAAAATATTTCCAGTAGATCTAATACCCCAGAATCATGAGCGGTGATCAAAGGTCAAGATCTGAGTACACCTAGGGACTTGGATTAGCCCCAAAGAGCTAACTTCGAGTGTTCCAAAAATGAGAGATGAGATTTAAACCACCTAGAAGCCCCTAAGAACCTAGTAAACCTCCACGGAAACCAAGGATGACCAAGGTGGTTCTTCAGGCTAATAGTAGTGTGATAGTGTCTTCAAGCCCTCCACTGCCTTTCCTAACGAGCTAGGCTCAGGGTGGTTAGGTTAGTGTGAGATTCAGCTTCGTGGAATGGCCAGTGGTCTCTTGAATAGGGCAACTGTGCTGTAAACCCTTTCCTGAGAGGGGAGCGTAGGACCACATCTGATAACCTAATAGCTGGTTAGGACATGGGGATCGCATGCCCCAAACTTAGGTGACTTTATGATCCTTAGAGACGGGCCAGCCAACCTTACTTGGATGATGTTTAGACTAGAAATCACCATATTATCTCATCATAATTTTATGAGGTCTCGCCTCAATTAAGATCACCGGTCATTAATTGCGTAAGCGAAGTAAGCTTCCATGGTCAAAAGATCATAAAGATTGTAGCAACTCAGCAAGACAAAGGTAACCTCTAGACTGTTAGCAGTTGGTACGGTGTCAATAGAGCTTCCGCTTTCCTTTCCACTTTAGTACAAATATCGTCGAGTCAAGCCTAGGGTGGTTAGGATTGTGTGACCAATAGTTTAGTTGGATTGTCCTGCACAATGTCACAGTCAGACTTCTTCAACCTTGCGACATCGTGATCTTGGCACGCTCATGGCAAACCTTAAGGGGGAACTCAAGTCCCATTCACATTTTTCGCCCAAATTTGTGCCTTCATTGAACCGACAACGAGGTTTGTCTTCACCAACCGAACACAACTTGTGCAAAATCTAAACTTGTTCGGCCACACACGCCACTCATGCGTATATGTTCAATCGTGTGTGACACAACATCACATCTCATCGTCATCTAGGTTCCCAACAACATGACTCATGGATCGTGATGTCATTTCATGTTTCGGGACAACTCGACCATCTTGACTTACTTAGACACATCCGTTGGAAACTGACTCATGTGTCAATCTTCTCATCCCAACATTTCGAACATCCATCCATACGAATTCTCTTGAGGATCAGACTCTTCAAGTCCATGCTAAACCATTTGTGACATACGTTTCGGATTGCGGGAGCATAATCTAACCCTTGACACATGGGTTGGGGCAATACTGACACATTTGTTTCATCTGGTACTGTCCTTGAAAGACCATTTTCAAAGGAAGATGTCCGCGATGCTCGCTCACACTGTGTCACGTATGTGCCATAGGGTAGCTCGCTTAGGTCATAGGGTCCAGACGTGGTGGAGAGCCAACACCATGTCTCCCCCTAAGGTACATTTTGAGCATTTTCAATGCTTCTTGCATAGATGTCAGAGCGAACAGTCATTTGGTGTCGTAGAGCATCCGTTCGATGTTCGGTTGATACCAACTTTGGCAAGCATTCATATTTCATATGAACAAACTTTACTCCAAAGTCGTATCTCCAAATTTCCTTCAGAAAGCTGACTTTTGAGGTTAAGGATTGGGCCCTACCCAACCCTTTAACAAACCTATCTTTGACACTTGTATCTACTTGTTGCCCTTGTCTTGTTTATGCTTCATCTTCTCTTCAATGTCTACTTTGTGTGGTACATTAAATGATGCACCGTCCTTCTTAGTTGCATCATGGCACTTGTCTAGGCCCTCGCATGGCTGGATAGGCGCCACTTGAGGATTGCTGCTTCTCTTGTCGCAACATGAGGGTCATAACCTACTCTCTTCATAGTTAAATTATGACACACAACATATCTGTCCTAAGAGGGGAAATAGTATTATATGGTAGTCTTAGTAACTTGCAAACACAAAGGATCGCTCCCCCAACCTTAGGTGACTAGATGGTCTTGTGGATAGGGTTCACTAGCTAACCTCTCATGGATGATGAGAGCATGCTAGCACACACACCACATTGTCCCACCATAGATAGAGTTTTACGACGTAGCACCTCGACCCAGGACACTGGTTGCGTACTATTTAGGTAGAGCAGGCTACCTAAGTCTAAGAATAGAAAAAGTAGTTCCCATTTCATGATTTACCTGACATGAAATGTGAATGTTAATTGATATATTGATAGTGTTTAGATTTAGCTAGTTTTGTACTGTGAATAGAGAGAGTCATGGTTGTGTAAGCTACTAAATGCTACTATATGCATGAAAATGATTTTGCTATGTATTTAAAGTTTTCCAACGTTATTTTCCACATGAATGTTGATTTCAATGAAGCACCTAAACCACAAACATTATAAATGGATTTTTTTTCTCATAAAATTTTAGGTGAAGGCTCAATATGACATGATACAGTCATGTATGATATTTAGTGGTCATGGACTATGACAGGAGGCCAAACCAAGGGTGGGCATAAAATGACCAAAATGCCCCTATAATATATACCATTGGCTTATAACCAAAGTGACCTCTAAATGACATGAAGTTTGATGAGGAGCCTTTGTGTCATGGTTTAAAAGGATTATAGAAATTTATAAAGTAACACATGCATAGAGTCTTATGTCATGAAATTTGTGACCATAACACATGCATAGACTATAGGTTAGTATAAGGTATTTGTATTTAATTTTTACTTGTCTATTTTAATTTTTCCGTTAAGTTATTTTTAAGACCTTTTATTAAACATGTAATTTCATGATTATTTCCGCATAAAATAGTTATGTTATATATACCGTAGAGATTAAAGTTAGTAAAAATCTAGAGTCATTACATCTATTCTATCTGCATATATACTTACATGCTTCCTCAGAAAAATCATTACGATTACACCGATTTTGAATTTTGAATGAGAATAGAGATTTGAAGATTTCCCTAATTTGGATGCCATCATTTTTATCAAGAACATTTTCAATTTCATCAAATTGGGAGGTAAATTAAGATAAATTAAAAAAAGTTATATAAGGAAAGAAGTTTGGATGTAAAAAATGAAATTTAATTGGGTTGTTTTTAAGAAAGCAGTTTCCCCACTAGGGAGTTTGTTTGTCTGTTGTACAGTATTTTATATTTTTTACAGAGCGAAGGCATACGTTTTGTGTGGGTTTGTTGGAGCTTTTATGGAATCTGCATCCAAATAAATAAATAAAAAGAAAAGAAAAGAAAAGAAAAGAAAAGAAAAGGGGTTTGGGTTTGGGTTTGGGCGGAGAAAGCAGAGAGATGGAAGAATCAGGTTCAGAAGGAGGAAGGCGAAGGGGAACTCCAACAACAACATACTGCGTCACTGGTGCCACAGGCTTCATCGCCTCTTCCTTGGTTAACCTTCTTCTTCAAAGTGGGTATAACGTCCATGCCACTCTTCGACACCCAGGTTTGTCACCTTCTTTTTTATTTCTTCAAGGCCCCCCACCCTTTTTTTTTTTTTTTCAATGATGGGACTGTTTGTTTTTATCTGCTCCATCTCTGAATCTTACAAAATTTATTTAACTTTCAATTTTAGGAACAATTCAGGTACTTATTACACACCTGAAATCCCTTTTTGAATTAATCAAATTTTCAAGTTTACTTTTACGTGGTTTCTCAAATTTTGAATGATACGATCCGTCCCAATTTTGATCCATAAATAAACTAGATCGATTCTTCGTTCACATATTATATGATATAGAAGATGATGAAGTTTTTGATCCCGTCAATTTGAACCATCAAATCCTAGTTTTAGGTTGGATAAGATGTTATATTTTTTACTCGAATGGCAAAATTTTGAATATCAACGCCACATGTACTTATGTTATTCAAAATAAATTTTTAGATGTTGTTAAGTACTTAATAAAAAAAAATTTGTCGTCGGTGCAGCAAAGTCTTTAAAGCTATTGTCTTTATGGATGAACACGGACCGTTTGCAACTGTTCAAAGCCGATCTACGAGAAGAAGGAAGCTTTGATGAAGCTGTAAAAGGGTGTGATGGTGTATTTCATGTTGCTGCTTCCATGACTTTCAATGTTGATCAACAGGACAATATTGGTAAGCTCTTTTTAATATAAGAAGATGACATAATTGAATGAAGCAAAGACTTACGTTTTCCTTTTAATAACTTTTGAAGAGGAATATGTCCAAACAAATGTGATCAACCCGGAAATTAAGGGGACCCTCAACGTGCTTAAGTCATGCATGAAATCTAGATCAGTGAAGCGAGTCGTTCTCACGTCGACGATTAGTACTCTCACTGGTAAAGATGTAGATGGAAAACGAAGGTGTTTCGTTGATGAATCATGTCAAACTTTTGTAGATCAAGTTTGGAAGAACAAACCAAGTGGCTGGGTAAGTGACGTATCATCATTTGGCTAATTTGAAACTCTACTCTAACTCTAATTCTGTTTGGTTATTATAGGTGTATGCACTTTCAAAGCGTCTAAGTGAGGATGCAGCATTTAAATTTGCATCTGAAAATGACATTGATATCGTTTCAGTAATTACAAGCACAGTTTCTGGTCCATTCCTTACTTCCAATGTCCCATCAAGCGTTCAAGTTCTCATGGCGCCAATAACAAGTAAAAATCTTTCTACATTTTATTTTTTTCATTCTACTGCATAAATAAACTAGCCAAAATATATTTGTTATAAGTATGGATAAAAGATTAAATTTATTATCTTGAAGCAAATTACATGAAATGAAATGATGAACCTAATCAATTCTATAGGAGATCCCAACTTTCTTAAGATTATATCGACGGTGAACGAAAGAATAGGATCAGTTGCAGTGGTTCACACCAGCGATATATGTAGAGCTCACATCTTCCTAATGGAGAACACAAAGGCCAAAGGACGATATCTATGTTGTGTCGGAAGCTATACATTGTCAGAGTTGACAGAACGACTATCACGACACTGTCATGTGAAGTTGGAAAGGTAGTATTTGATTCGAGCACGAAAATTGGATGACGGGATGTAGGGAAATTGACATGGGTTTGTTGTTTGTTGCGCAGATGTGTTGATGAGAAGCAAAATTGGATGCGTTCTGAGGTTGGAAACAAGAAATTGAAAGATTTGGGGTTTGAGTTGGAGCATGGAATAGATGATATAATAAAGGACACAATTAGTGCTTGTGTTGAATGTGGCTTTATATCTCTTACTTAGAATGAATTTGGGTTTTGTATGGCTTACAATGAACGGCAACAAGTTCTTTTTCAAGTTCTTAATTAAGTTATAAATTAACTGAATTATAAAGCTAATGAATTTGATACTTAAATTAAAAATTGGGTTTGGGCTCAACATTTTCTTTGGCCCAACTTCCGACAATGGACTTTAGGTTAAATTGGACTTTGGGCTAAGTCGTGTTAAACCCAATTGACTTTTGGCCTAATCATCAAGTGGCTTAAGACATGCGTGATGTTCCATATTGGTTGGGGAGGAGAATAAAACACGGTTGATATGCGTGATGGACATGCATGATGTCCCAGATTGGTCGGGGAGCGGAACAAAACACCATTTGTAAGGAATTGAAAACTTTTGCTAGTAGATATGGTTTAAAGAGCCTCGAGGGATTCTAAGGGTAAGTCCGGACAAACATAATTTTTTTTTCCGGTAAATAAAAATCTTAATAAATTAGTGTTAAAATATTCAAAACTAACTAATTTATTTTTATTAATATGTGTTGAAAATATATTTATATTCAGCTGGACGGAGACTTATGATGAAGAATATAATCTGTCACTGACCCATTAATCTATCGGATAAAAACGTTCTCCACTCCCTTTCCACCTAAGTAGGAAATTATGGTGTTAATATTAGGTGGAGAGGCATCTCGAATGGAGTTCTCATGCATGAAATTACATGGTGCCAACCAAACATACCTCATCTAAATCACTATTTCCAATAAAAGGGAGAAATAGTCAAACTTCTCAAATATTAACACTATAATTTTATACTCTTTTATCCATTAATAAATATATATATATATATATATATATATATATATATATATATTATCTTCATTGTTCATTTTTAATTAATTAACATAAAATAATTCTAAGTAAATCTCGCCCTTTTAGAAGAAAATAGCAAATTCAGCTAAAAATATAAGAGTAAAAAATGTAATATTTTAAACTTAAGGAACAATAATCGTAATACTCCTAACATCCATGTACTCCAACATTTTTAGATTATTTTTTAGTTTAGTAATTATAGAGCATCGACCATAATAATCGATCATTTTTCTTATAGTGTAGATCATCTTAGTTTTCTAATATCATCTGACTCGATTAATTAATAAAACTATCCAATTTAGTAATAAATTGCTATTTTTTTTTTTAATGTAAATTTAACATTTGATTCTTTTATTTATTTATAACTAAACCTAAAACTTCAAAGTTCCCAAAATTTTAACGTGAAACACATTTTAAATGATAAAAGAGAATATATTTTAAATTAAAATATTCATTATCCACATCTGTAACATTATTTTTATTTGTGTTTGTAGTTTTTTTTTTTTTTAATGCTTGACATTATTATTATTTATTTTTTATTTTTTTTTGTCTATAACATATATCTTCAATAATTGAGTTATGCTTCATTTAATTTAATTTAATTAATTAATTAATTATTATTATTATTATTTTCGGGTATACTTGTTGACATATACCATCAATATTGAATATTTCAATTTATAAAAATATCCGACGATAAGATATTTCACTTTATATTTGTGACATCTCAAATCGGTCGAAAAAGAGAACATGTGAAAACTTCTCACGACCAGACATGTTTTAAAACTGTGAATCATTTCATAAAAGAACGTGAAAACCTCTCCAGAATCTCACTTATATGTTATAAACTAAAATAGACCCTCGAGTTAAATGATTATAATATGCCCTTTGAATGGAGAGAGAGAGGGACCGTGGGCTTCTCGCATATAGCCCTTTTGCACCAAACCTATAGGCTGTTCTGGACGGAGACATGCAACAAAGACAGCCTCAAATATGCTTCCGCCACCAACAATATGACACAGACACTGACACGGACACGCCTGAAACGCCCTCCTCCTCTCCTCACATCATTTTGGATTTTGAATTTTCTACTAAAATTCCCACAATAATTTGCTTCATGCTTTGCAAATTACCACAAAACATGGAAGCAAAGCTCTAGGATTCAACAAATAAAGCTCTTCTATATTTGAATGCAACCCAACTTTCCCCGCCAATGAATCAAACCCCGTCTGTCCAGCCATTTCCTGTATGTTCTCCAATGGCCTATGAACTCTCCCTGCAATCACCCTGCATACAATCATCGCCTTCCTCGTTATCGCCTCGTCCCATCCCGACATCTCAATCGAGCTGAATGCTCTTGCACTCGTAGAAGTTGTGAACACGCCTATCCCTTCTTTCATCTCTGTCTTTGCTGAGAACCCATTGCGTATGATTCTGCACACGCAGCATTTCTCCGATATGCAGAGGCTGGAGGAGCCATTGAGGCCAAGTGAGCACGCGACCGTCGTGCCGTAGAATCGCAGCAGCTCGTTCCCGTCTGCAATGCACCGTGGGTGCTTCTTTGGGAGCTTGCTGGCTTTCATTTTGACTGTCTCACGATACTCCTCGAATCGGGCTAGTGTTCGTTGCATATTGTGAACTTTCACCACTCTTTCTATTCTGCCACTTTGATTCTCTGATTTTAACCAGCTTGTTCTGCATATTATCTCCACGATTTTCCTTGATGAATCTCCTTCCACAAGCTCTGTTACTGCAAATTTCATGAGTTTTAGATTTAAAACAAATACGCAGAAAATTGAATTCAGAATTTTTGTTGCATACCAGCATGATTTGAAAGATGATGTGCTTCAGCAGAATCCCATTTGTTGAACTGCTCGCCACATTTATGGCAAGTAACCGTCGAACAAAACCCATTCCCAATATCCTCTGTTTTCAAAGAGACTCTGTTCCTCACTCCGCCGCCGCCAGATTTATGAGAGCTTCCGAATCCGTCTCTTAATGGGAACTTTCTCGAAGAAGGCCTCAATGGGTAGGCACCGGGGCCGGGTGTGCCTGGTGTCAGAGTGCCGACGAAGGTGGAAGCGGTGTTAGCACCGGCGTGAGGATCGGCGGCAGGTACATCTTGGGGGAAACCGGTATGGAAACCGGTGATTTTGAGCTCGCATCTAGAGTTGTTGAGAATGACTTGGTGGGTTATTGGGTTGAGAAAGTCGCTGCTGCCAATGGATCTTGGACTGCAACTTGGGGGCTTGTCGAAATGCCTCTTGCTGGTGCCGCCATGGATGACGTCTTTGAGATTTGCTATGGACCTTGAACAACCTGATCTGCCTCCTCCCCCTGTTTTTCTGGTCAAAATTGAACCCAAATTCTTTCTGGTTTTTGGGTCATGGACTTCTGATGGGTCTGATTTGCAGTACAAAGATTTCTTCAAGGACACCCAAACTGTTGGCATATTTGATTTTCTTCACAGATAACAAAACCCCATTTCTTCAAAGATCACTATTCTCTTGAGCTACAAGGAAGAGATTTTTTTTTTTTTTTTTTCCCTTTTTTGGGCATTTTGGGGGGAGAATTTGGAGGGGATGTGGGAGATTCAACGCAAATTCCTGGATCTCTTTTGTTTTCATTTATGATGATAGGCTCGTTTTTTAAAAAGTTTTTTTTTTTTTTTCTGGACCTTTTGTAAATGATTTTAATATAAGTAGGGGGTGAAATTACCTTTATGCCTTTGTTCATAGGGTAATGTGGTGGAGAAGTACCCCAAGTCATTTTGGAAATATTTTACCCAATTGAGGATAAAAAAGGTTAGAATGATTTTTTTTTTTTTTTTTTTGATAATTTATAATATTTTCCTACTTCCGTTAGGACATTTAAGTAATACTGATTTATTTAGACTCTAAGACCAAGAACATTTGGTCCAAATAAGTTTAGGAGCATCGAGTTGAGTCTAAAATTATAAGTGAGCTTATTGTTGAAACGGATGTTAGGAATCATAGATCTTCACAATGATATGATATTGTCTTCCTTGAGGATAAGCTCTCATGGTTTTGCTTTAGATTTCCTCAAAATGTCTCATCCCAACAGAGATAGTATTATTTGATTATAAACCCATGATCGTTCCCTAAATTAGACGATATGGGACTTTCATCCAACACCTCCCCTTGAACAAAGTACGTCTCCCCTTAATCGAGCCTCGACTCCTTTTTCTTTTGGAGTCTTTGTCATTTTTTACTATGCCTTCGAGGAGCCTCGATTCCTTTTTGTTTTGGAGTCCTTTGTTCGACATTTGAGAATTCTATTGACATGGTTAAGTTTAGGGCATGGCTCTGATTTCTTGGAATCACAGATCTCCACAATAGTTTGATATTATCTACTTTGAGCATAAGCTCTCAAGGCTTTGCTTTGTGCTTCCTCAAAATACCTCATATCAATGGAGATAGTATTCTTTGATTATATGAATAATACGTAACTTGTAGTCTATGTATATGTTATTATTTATGATATAATATTCTAATGTATTTGTTGCAATGTATTGATTTCATGTTTATTGATTCAGGTTTTGTATGTTAATACATGGCCTTGCGAGAAACCATATGTATCATGTATGATAAGCATGAATGAAATACCACTGAATATGGATGCAAGTCTCATAGAAAATTTAGTATTTTGTGCATTATCTCATTGAACCATGATTCTTAATGTAAGGTCTCATGCATGTTATGTGTCACACAAGCATGGATTACTCCTCCAATATGTTACATATGAACGTTACACCACGATATTATAAGCACTTTTTTTTTTCTATTAATTATCAACATGGTGAATGTGTGCTAGCCCATTGTCAAACATAAGAGTTACATATACAAGTCTGCCTAATGGGTTCATGTGCACATAAAGGAACTGTTATAAGGAATCACTACGAGGGGAGTAAGATTCAGATTATCTTGTTGATCGAATATCTCAAGGCAAGAACATTGTTTGAGATTCGAATCACTCCAAAAGCAAGATCGATCATGTCTAGCTTGGATGATTCTTGTTGATCAAATATCTCAATGCAAGAACACTTGTTTGAGATTCGAATCACTCCACAAGCAAGATTGATCATGTCGAGCTTGAATGATTCTACATGCAATCTAAACTGCATAGAATTGCAAAGAAACTTAGTCATTAGCTAAAGAAAGCACAAATATTTTTTTTACTACATTTTCCGAGTCTACTTACAAATACAACATGCATGGCTTTATATAGCTTCAAAATGAAACTATTAAAGACATTCTGAGAATTGTAACATTCATATTTTATGGTCATATTTAACCATGATGTAAATGTAACATGAAGTAAATAAAATGTTTTAAAATACATTAATGAAATACAATAACTCTAAAATACTCTAAATTGTAATTCACTCAAACTTTATAACAATGAAACTTCGTTCTTCTTCCATGTGACATGAATTGAAATATTTTTTGATAATTTTAACAACTTTTTCTTCGTATCTTTATTGAAATAATTGTATGATTGATGTTTTTTTCGTATCAAACTAAAAGACGGAGAGAATTGAAGGAAGATTCAATCAACCCCTTGTTGCATCTAGAAGATGGAGGGAATCTCAGCACCAAAAGGGGGAAAGTGCCAAGAATTTGAATTTTAAGAGGGTAAGATCGTGTTGACTCGTGAAGAGAGGGGCATGAATGTCTTTTCACATTAATGAGGTCCAGAAATATATATATATATATATATATATATATATATATATATTTGAAAATGGGTTAATTAAAAAAAAAAGAAAAAAAGAAGAAAGAAAACAAAAATGACAGTTCATTTATTATTATATTGGGAACTCCAAAACCATGAGCCAAAGGAAAACATCTTCCATGTGTGCTCAAAAAAAGAACAGTGGAATTAAAATTTAATATATTTGTACACATGGAGACAGAGGAAGAGAAAAGGATAGAGCGAAGGGCAAAGTGTTTTTGATTAATAAGTATTTCACAGGTCGGAGGGATCCTACATTATGCCCCATGTTAAAGTAACCAACCTCGAGTTATTTGACCTGTGAGAGCACTTAGGAGACTCGCCAACTCATCCTTAATCGTATACTTGCCCCGAGGAGATATGTTGTGCATGGTAGTGTCAATTATAGGATCACTCCTATGACTTCTATGGTAATGTGGAGACTAGTAATCGAGCCATTACCTCCTATGAGTGAACCTACCTCCTATGAGTGAATCTGTTATAGTGACTGAGGGTTCACAATTTATCGTAGTAATTTTATCTGAGCACAGTTATGTGTCATGGAAATAATCAAGGGATTTTTAACTATTCATTGGTCATGGACTTTTCTACCGGTGTAATGGTATACATGAGTGCAGAAGATTGGTAGGCACGCGAGTCTTAGAATGACATGATGTGGCTTATTAAGGAATTACCATAGTGACCTAGTAGCTTATTAGTTTCAAACAATGAAAGGTCGACCTTATTGATACATGATACTTGAGTATGTGACATGAACCATAACAATTCAATATAACTAACCAACTTACCCTAAGACTCCATGGAGATTCCAAAGAAGTATAAAAAAACTCTAAGTACGAACTATCGTGAGACAATAAAAACTTAAAAACACTCGTATATGAGATATTACGAAATGAGGGTCAATAATTCAATAAAGACATCGATAGGTTAGTACTCAAGGAACGAAAGGGACTCACTTTTCAAATTTTAGATTTTTTTTTAGTGAGATAAAGTTAGATTTTTTTTTAGTGAGATAAAGTGAAAAATATATTGAAAATGACAAATGTGTAGTGGGGGTTGAGATAATAAATTCTTATCATTGTGTTGAGGTGCCTCCCACCGTGTGTTAGGGTCCTACATTTTTTATTGTGCGGCATCGTGATCTTGACACGCTCACAATTAGTCTTAAGGAAAATTAAGTTTTATATATATTTTTTGCCCCGATTTTGTAGCTTCGTCGGACCTTAGGCGAGGTTTGTCTTCGCCAATTGAACATTGCTTGTACGGAATCCAAGCTTGTTCAACCACACACACCACCTGCGCGTGCATGTTCAATCATCTGCGACACATCCGACTTGCCTCTACACTAGGCTAAGTCATTCAGCTTGACCATGCCTCTACTCGGGCCAAGATCTCTCAATACAACATCACATCTCATCTTGTCATCTCGATCCCCATCGACATGGTTCATATGTCTTGGTGTCATTCCGAGTCTCAAGATGTCGTCGGCCATCACAACTCGTTCGGTCATGCCACTAGCCCACGTGTCGCTCATATCATCGGGATTTCCCGAACATCCATCCATCCGGGTTCTATCGAGGCACTGGCCCTCCCATGCCCATGTCGTGTCATTTACGGATACCGTGCTGGATAGCGGGTGTATGTAGCAACCTCCAACACGCAGGCTGGGGCACAATACCGGTGCACCCGTGCCGTCCGGTATTGCCCTTGAAAAACCCATTTCAAAGGAAGTCGCCCGAGACACTCGTCTCAACACGCTCGCCCACACTATGACACACGTATGTGCCACATGGTAGCTCACTTAGACCACATGGCCCAGGGGTGGTGGAGAGCTAACACCATGTTACCTCCTATAGTACATTTTGAGTCATTTTCAATTTTATAGGCATAGACATGATTTTGGTGAACTGTCATACGGTGTCGTGCATTTTCCATACGATGTCGTGCATTGTCCATCCGGTGTCCGATTGACACCAAACTTGGCGAGCATTCATATTTCATATGGACGGACTTAACTCCTGAACCGCATGCCTAAATTCTCTCCGCAACCCCGACTTTCGAGGTTAAGGTTTGGGACCCTACCCGACCCTTCAACAAGCCTATCTTTGCCTCTCTTGTCTATTCGATGTCTCTGTCTTGCTTATGTCTCAACTTGTCTTCAATGCCACACTTCATGTGGTGTGTTAGATGATGCACCGTTCTCCTCGGTCGCATCATGACACTCGTCTAGGCCCTTTACATGGTCGGATGGCGCCACTTAAGGGTCGCCGCTTCTCTTGTCGCAACGTGTGGGTCACAACCTACTCTATTCATAGTTAGGTTGTGACATCTCCCCGACTTAACCTAGTCATCATCCTCGATGACATACATGGGGCACAACCATTGTTGGATTGTGACACCATGCTCTACCAATGATCTATTTAGACTATATATATATATATATATACATGTTTGAACAAATTATTTATTTAGGATAAATTTTAAAGTTAAAAAGATAATTTTAGTTTGATTAAAATTGTTTTGGGGTGAAATTAAGAATAAAATAAAAATATAAGGAGTAGAGAGAATAATAAAGATGAGAAATGGATGTGACACATTATTATGTGTTTTATTTTTTGTCATATTAGGAATAAGGGTGATGGGGCCATCAACCCTTTGTTCTTGGTTTTACATGTGAGTGGGTACTATATTCTTCCAACAACATCCAAATTACAAATTGACAATCAAATAAAGTTCTATTTTTCTTTATTACTTTATTTTATTAACAAATTGTTTGTTTGGTCAATATTGTTCCAACTCAAACTCACATTGATATACTTAAATGTCTCACTCTCACTCCCAAATATTCCAATCAAATTATTTATGTTTATTTCTAAAATCACCCAATCAAATTCCATTTTTATTAGTTTAGACTCATGTGTTCGAATATATTAAATACGTTGACCATTTGAACGCATTTAAAGTCGAATTATTCAATTTCTCTGTGTTTAATTGGTAAATTATACACTCACACATCGACCATTATTGATATCGACCATTATTCAATAATGTAGTCGTCTACTAGTTTTACCTTAATTTAATTTAATAGTGAGTTATGGGAAAATGATAATAATCATTTTTTAAAAATTTTCAAAAATTAAATTAATATTTTTTTACATTAAAAAAAAAAAAACTAGCAGAGGATTATGGGCTGAGAAAGGGTCCAAGAGCTATTGGGCCATGCATAAAATGGAAGGAGCTATGTTTTTTTTAATAAAAAAGTTGAAAGCCCGGCCCGCATTCAAACGGATCTTTCAGAAACGAGAAGGGCCCAAATGGACGTGGTAGGCCCAAGTACACTACAAATCGCAAGCGGTGGGCGAATCAAAGTTCAATCTATACCGTCCGCCGAATGGTAATCGAACGGTCATGGTAATGATCCGCGTACTTGCATTCTATTGGTTGGTCTAAAAATCGGTTCCTTATATATTACTCGCACACGCAACTTCCCATTTGTCATCCTTTATTTTTCGTTCAAAATATTCCTGAGTTTGAACTTCATCTCTTTCTGTATCCAAATTTCGACAAATCAATGGCGGGAAGAGGCAAAACTTTGGGATCTGGAGCGTCGAAGAAGGCCACTTCAAGGAGTAGCAAGGCCGGCCTTCAATTTCCCGTCGGTCGTATTGCTCGTTTCTTGAAAGCCGGTAAATACGCTGAACGAGTCGGTGCTGGAGCTCCGGTTTACCTCGCCGCCGTCCTCGAATATCTTGCAGCGGAGGTATAAACACTTTCTCCAGTTTCTAATCCTGAATTTTGTCCTATTTTGGATTCGCGTTCAGTTAAGAATTTCTTCCTGAAAATTTCTAGGTTCTGGAATTGGCTGGAAATGCCGCAAGGGACAACAAGAAGACTAGAATTGTGCCTCGCCATATCCAGCTTGCTGTGAGGAACGACGAAGAGCTGAGCAAGCTTCTTGGAGACGTAACGATTGCGAATGGCGGTGTTATGCCTAACATTCACAATCTGCTATTGCCGAAGAAGGCTGGTAGTTCCAAGGCGTCTGGTGGTGAGGATGAATCCTAAATTAAATGAAGAAACGTGGTCGAGGTGTTCAGATCTGGAATTTAGGTTTTGTTAGCTTTGTGTGCTTTACTTTAATGTGTTCTTAACTTTAATCAAAGAGCTGATGTGAATACGATCAATCTTCTTCGACAATTGTGGATTTCTTTTTCTTCCGTTTGAATTTTGATTCACAATTGGAATTGGAATTGGAATTGGAATTCTTTGGATATCTTGCTTCGCACTTTACCAAATGGCCTTATAGGGAACTGTATTAATTATCTTTTTCGTTTTTCTTTTTGAAGATTCAATTTCTTTTTTGTGAACTGTGAATCTATTCTGTTTTAGGTTTTGGCGCTTCAAATGTTCATCTGAATTTGGGGGAAGAACAATGCGTTTCAAATTAAGGCAGTGTCTAGTTTTTTTGGGAATAAATTTAGAACGAAAATTCATACTAGTTTTCTTGCTTCACTAAAAATCAAAAAACAAAAAACAAAAAATGTAGCTTTTAGAAGCTTGATTTGATCCTCCCATCAATTTCCTTAAAAAACTCGTTAAAAAACTTTAATTTGGTGTATAACTTTGTGTTTAAAGAGTTAATAGACATAATTGATGTATTCTAATTTATGAAATATAAAATATAAAATTTTATTTAACCTAAAATATTGTAGGTTAAAAAATTTATTAGAAATTTATAAAATATAGAATGTTTGTTCACATAATAAATTTATTAGATGAAGTATAGTTCCCAGAGTAAAGTCTTTATTTTGCACATAATAAACATTTTTTTACCGTTTATTTTGCACATAATAAACATTTTTTTACCGTTTATTTTGCACATAATAAACATTTTTTTACCGTTAGTACTATGTTTAAAAAATACTCTCACATCCTAAAAATACAAAAAAAAAAAAAAAAAAAAACTTTTTTTTCAACCACGATTAAGTCTAGATTTTAAATTTGATTTCTCGCATGCCAAGGGATCATACGTGGGAAGTGATCATATGTGCTACACTCCATTTACACATTTCATATTATTTTAAATTTTAAATTTTTTGTAATTGAAATTAATTTTTTTTATATGATATACAAATTAAAAATAATACATAAAAGGGCCAAAATCGATTAGTTATTAAGAAGTTTACGCTCTACCATATGAGCTACACCCCATGTACAAATATTCTAATATTATATTATTGTAAACAAATCATAAATCATGAAGGTGCAAATAATTGTACTTGTGGTGTCTCTTGCATGCGAAGTGAAAGCTCTACCGTGTGAGCTATACCCATACTTACAAAACTAATTGTAATACTTAAACTTGATAGGTACGAACTCTTCTACTTATAGATTTTAGGAACTGAATTCAAGATGTGGTAGAAGAGAAAAATGCTAAAAATATACTCAGAGACTCAAGAAGAATATAAAACAAAATAGTATAAAATAGTATATACTTTACAAAAGTTGCTCAACAATCGAAAATTCATGGAGGTGCAGGGACCCCGTGCCTCTCGCATGCAAAGCGAGCGCTCTACCATATGAGCTACACCCCATATGCAAATATTTTATTATCTACACATAATTTTACGGTTTATATATTAGTCATTTTTTTTTGCAACTTACGTAGATTTCAAAAGAGAGATAATTTTATGGTTTATGACTTATGTGGTAGGATTATTTTCCAAGTTAAGAAAGACTAGTTCCTAAAAGTGCACAACCTAAGCCCTAACTTACGAGGAGACTCAAACAGTATATCATATGTTTTCCTCATTTTGGTTGGAAGCTCTGCTTTGCAGGATGTTAGAACCCATGCAAGAGAATGTCAGCGCAACCATGAGACCGAATTTAAATTCTAAATTCTAGACATAGGTATACACTCACATTCATGTGGTTTACTAACCATGTTACCTAGTAGGTCTCCCGGGAAGACTGTTTTAGGACCAAAATTAGTACTTTGCATTGTGTGTAGACCGTGGGATCCACTCTCTTTTAACCTATCAAAGAATGAGGGATCATGCAAGTTCATAAACTTGGACTAGGCATCAAACTAATCAAGCTTTATGAACTCAAAATCTGTCACTCAAAATCTAAGACTGAGGGCCTTAAAAAATAAAAACCATGTTTATGACTTATTGTCAAGTTTAGAGTATGGTACTCTAGCATCAACCATGGACATGATTAGAGCATACAAGTAGGCTTCTCATTGAGTTTTATACACACTCTTGTTTTACATATTTTTCAAGTAATGACTAAACAACGGCGAAGGACGAGAGCAAATCTGGAGTAGGTGCCATAGAGAGCAAACCTATGATTGAGAGCCTCCACAAGTTTTATGCTTTTTTGTCTCGATTATATTTTGTATTCTTGTTTTCTAAATGTGGGTAATCTTGTGGGTAAATTTTAGGAACAAGTTTGAGAGGAAATGACGGAGAATTGCTCTTGAATTTGGAATAAAATCGAGAGTAGGTAGGAGACCCAAAATCTAAATGGCATGCGAAGCGAGCGCTCTACCATATGAGCTACACCCCCGTACATTAAAATTATGATAGTGATGATATTTTAACACTCTCTCAACACTTGGTCACACATATTCTTCCTTCAAGATTTTCTCTCAATAAAATAGTAGTGCACCTTCACATACTTTGTTCTAGCATGAAACATCAAATGGTCTACTAGATGAGCCGGAGATTGGTTGTTGCAATAAAGTGATATTAGATAGTCAACTTTCTGGAGCAAATCATGAGTTTTAGCCATCTACTTTCTTGAGTTTCTCCACTTGCTGCTTTACTCTTCTGTAGTTGAAAATCATATTATTGGTTGTCTTTTGCTTCATTAATAAATATTTTCCTAACCGAGCTTGAACACATACCTAGTGGTTGATCTTCGGGCATCGTGGTCTACTGCATAGTTGACATCATAATATCAAGCTAGTTTGCCGTCTTCACATCTTTTGCACAAAAGATCATGGTCAATTGTGACATATTTCAAGGTTTGTCGAGTTGCATCCAAATGAGGCTTCTTCGGACTTTGCATGTACTGATTCATGACTCCAATTGAATTCTCAAATTCCTTCGATTGGTTCATGTAGATCTTCAAATTCAACTCTCCGTGTAAGAAAACATTCTTCACATCCATCTGCCATAATTTCCAATCTTTACTTACCCCAAGTGCTAGCAAGACTGATACAGCAGTGATCTTTGCCACTGAACTAAATATTTCATCAGAGTCTAGTTTATATTGTTGAGTAACCCTTGAGCTACAGGTCTAGCCTTGTACCTCTGAATTAATTCATCATGGGGAGACTTTATTTTGTAAACCGACCTGCAAAAGATTTGTTTGACATCTTCTAGTCTTGACACTACTTCCTAGGTTTAATTTTTCTCCAAGGGGATACATTATTTCTCCATTGCCTTTTGCCAAGCCATATTTTGTGATCCTTCTTCATACCTCTCTAGCTCTTTAACTTCGTATTCCATACTAGCTGCGTCGACAAAATTTGGATTTGACTTTAGGATCTTTCTGATCTGACTGTCTATGTCATTCAAGTGTCATTTTCTTTTCGTTAGGTTTACTTTCGAGCCTTATATTTTGTTAATTTTTTAACCAAATGAGCTAAAATCTCTTCTATTTGATCTATGATATGTAGGACTACAATTTTTGTGAACGAATCGAGAGAAGATCACCCTTAAATCATGCTAAAATTATCGAGTTTTAGAGGGGTCAGCCATTGTCATTTCACAGTAAGGGTAAGGTTGGAGGTTGATGATGGTGACGCCTCTGAACCTGCCATGTTATACCGTTTTCATTTTTCTTACCATTAGCCATCGTTTAGATCGGTTAACCTATTTTAGACCCATTATCATTACGATTTTTTATGTTCCATAAAATATATTCAACTTGAGGCCTACCCAACAAATTTGAGGAAGAACTAGTTTCAAAAAGCTCATGAAAAGTGATTTCCAAGGCGGTGAATAGGTAAACAACTACACTAAACTACCATTACTCACTGTTCGGACCCATTCACCCATTTTTAGACTAATTCTCACAATGATTTTTAAGCTTCTAGAAAATAGACTTAATTTGGAAGCTACCCAAATACCTAGGGAAATTGAGGAAGAAATAGCTAAACCTAGAAACGTGTATAGTTTACAACTTTATAATTTTCAATTGCATGTTTGAGAATTCTGATAGTCTTAACATGTTTACGAGCTTCCCAACATACCCTAGTTGATTTTTATCCCTTTTATCGAGCATGTTGGGCATGAAATATGTTATGATTGTCATTCGATGCATGTTAGAGGGTCGGAAAACCCGTTTATGCCAATTATACTTTGAAACAATATATCCAATCAATTTTTAAATATCAGAAAATATCACCTACTACTTACCCAATAAATATTTTAAGGGAAAATCGAAGGAACTGTTCCATAAAATAGAAACAAACTCTAGCCTTGGATCAAGCAAGGTTCGCAAATATTGATCAAGAACTTACCTTGGATCTGGGAATGAAATAGAAATTTGATTAGCTGAAGTTGATTTTTCTTTACTCGAGTCACCTTTCATTCCCATAGCTTCATTTTGTACGAAAAAGCCAGGTTGTTTCGGTTGCGACAAACGAATTTCACACCCTAACATCATAACGACCGATGACATTGTCGGTCGATCGTTAGGACGTTGTTGAACACACAACAAACTGATATTGATACATCTCAATACCTCCGAAATGATGCACGTTTCTCGAATGGCTTCGTCGATCAACTCTTCGGGATTCCCTTCTTTCCACAAACGCCATGCCTACCTTACAAGAAATGAAGAACATACATTTTCCCAATCAAAGAACTTGAAGAGAAGTATGGTAAACAATTCAACCTTGGAACTTACATATGCAATAAGATTTTGCGCATTCAAGTGGCAGAAACCTCTGCTTTTTGTTCCACTAATGATCTCCAACAACAAAATGCCATAGCTAAATGCATCAGATTTTACTGAGAATTGTCCATCAAAAGCGTATTCGGGTGCCATATATCCGCTGTGGAATATATAAATTTTAAAAGCTTGAATTCAAAAAAGCAGAAAACAAGATGTTTGAGGAAATATCGAGGATCTCTTACTAAGTTCCAACCACTCTTTTCGTTCGTCCTTCGGTTTGATCTTCACCGCATGTTTTAGCCAGCCCAAAATCAGAGATTTTTGGATTCATATCCATATCAAGTAAAACATTACTTGGCTTTAAATCTCTATG